CCTTCATTTGTTTAACAAGTCATTTATGCAAGAAGAACATGAATTTGAAACGCTAACCTAATCTCCTCCAGCATCAACAAGAGTTATGTCAGGTTGTCTGTATGCAAGACCTAATCGCTGGCTGTTGTTTCTTTCAGCAGCCAAACCATTTTCATGAACGACTGCTTTCTGCAATGAATCTCCTGTAATTAAGCCAGTTTTTCATATATTTTGCATTGAACTAAAACACAGATCAGTTGAAGCAGGCTTTGTCTCCAAATTAGCATTCTGTGGACAAAAGCTTGCAGGCCTTTGTGTTGCTGAAAGCAGTTATTACCAATCTATCATTGGCCAGCCCATTTCCTAAGTGCAAAAGACTGTTTCTCCTTTCCTCCTCACTGTTCCTATTCAGATGGGAGCAGTTTTCAAATTTATTTGTTATGGTATGTGTTACTACATTCACTGGGTTAGACACGCACCCCTTGTCTGACTTCATTGCACTAGCCCCGTGGTACAAGGGCATGGGAAAACTGATGTGGTACAGAAGGGCTGAAGGATCTGGAGTAGGGTATATTTCAGTGGTCCACAGGGATGTAAACGGCTTATCTGAGAAGCAATAGGGACAAGACTCAGATGGCAGTACACCAACTGTATCTATTAGGCTTAGAAAAAGCATGACGCAAACTAAAAATGTCATGATTTTTTAAGAAAAGAAACAGTCATCCCGTTATTTGTTCTTTTCAGCTATGCAAGCTGAAGAATTTTTGGAGTTGCATATACAAGATGCACCAGAGCAGCCATGGAAATTAAAGTTAATTAAAAATTGTTTCAACTAGGCAGACTTTTTGGAGGTGATAAGGTGGAGACTAAACCATTGGACTGGGAACGCCAGAAACAGATCTGTCTTGCAGAAATAGAAAGAGGCACAAGTGTGTTCACATCTCTCTTGTCAAATGTTTGTGAGGTGGAAGGGAAGGTGCTCACGGCTCCTCAGGATGCTGTTACATGTTGTCTCTCTAGCTCACTTTGGTGAACCTTTTATTTGGTTTGCAAACGACATGTGGCCCATGGGCTGCCAGTTGAAGAGGTCATTTCAAGACTTTGTATTTATCCTTGAGTAGTAGGAACTTAGTGACTAGCTGAGAAGGATTTTTATGATTTTCTGCTTTGCTTTTTCTTATTCCAAGCAAATCGCAGTTGAGCGGAACTGTGCAGATCAGATCTTCAAACTTTAAGTATATTTTAAAGCTTTGCTGGATTGAAGATAAAGGCAAGATTGAGTTTACCCTGCAGAATTAGGCATACACAAAGTATATCTTTACTGTTGTAAATCTCATCTATCACCTACTACCAACAAAAATCGTTTAATAAACATAGATATTTTATGACATAAAACCTGCGCTGAAGAGACAGAAAGGGCATACTAGTGAGTGTGAGTATTATAATGAGCATAATTAATTTGAATATGTATCAAGAGCCGTATCAAGCTAAATATTCACAAAAAATTGAATAATCATGTTGCTCTATAAGTCTTTCATTGCAAAGCTGTAAAAATAAAAGTAATGTTGCCCAAAGCCAGCTTTTGTCTTCACTTGCAACCTTTCTCATTGTCATGCAAACTTTATTATGCATAGTATTTCAGATGCTGAAATTTCAATGCAATCTAAATGCCAGCATTCAGATTTTCATGGGTTTGCATTTAAGAATCTTTCTTTACACATCTGTTCATTTTTAGATTCTCTGGTGGCTTGAATGAAAATGCAAAAACAGTATCTGTTAAAAGATTGCATTTCTAAATCCCGTGCTTTTGGTATTACAAGTCATACAGATATTCTGTGACTTAAATTACATATAAAATTAAATCCCTCTGAAGTATTGAATCTCATCACATACACACCTGTGTCTGGATAATGGAAGTATTTGTGCTGCTTGTTCAAATAAGCAGACTGATACCTTAGCAAAAGATATAGTAACAGCTAAGATCAAGGCTTTCAAGAGCTCAATTTTGAGGGAATGTTATTTTTCATGCTGTTAAAATTACTTTTAATCAATTGCTTCAGTATTTATTTGTTCGTACCAAAAAAATAATCCTGGGAACACTGATAATCTACTAATTTGGAAAAATACATGTTTAACAAAATGTACCTTTTAGAAATAATCCCTTTATAAAGTCTTGCAATATTCAGTACAGAAAAACACCAAAATGCCATAGAATTCACCAAGAAGAATATTGTAAATTTCAATAAGCTTTTGTTGAATAGGCAATTGTGGAGGTAGATACTTTCTATCACCACAAAAGCTCTGCTTCCTTTCTTCCTAAGAACAGAGTGATTAGAAATATAAAGATTACAGAGTACTTCAAGCAAAATCCTTCACTAATAGCCTATAGAGCCCATTAGACAAAATAAGTCTGAGAACTTTTAAGCTTAAACTGACAATGAAAGCAAGACAGCAAAACCGAAAAATGTGTAGCATTTAAGCAGGATAACACCCATGCCAGTCCCGGTGAAGAAGTTTTATTCCATTTATTCAGAGCTTTTCTCTGCCCATCCTTTGGCATTCTGGCCTGAGAGTCAATTGCATATTGGTTGATGCATTTATTTTTTGCTGTATTAAGTGTTGCCTTAAAATAATCAGAGTGGCTTTAATTACTGGTATATTAAAAAAAATCATTATAATCTGATGATGTGCTCTGCAGACAGAGTTGTGCCAGAATCGTGTGTGATGGCAGCAGCACGGAACAACATATCTAAGCGTGATTTCGTGCCCAGCCCATAACGACAGAGACAGGACAATCACCTCAGAGCTGAGTAGGGATCAGCATCCTGGGTGAGGGCAAAGGATCCTCGTTGTCCTTGTCTGTGCAGAACTGAGAGCCACTGTCCCTCCACTGCTCTTGCTGCTTGAGCAGCTCAGACTGGAGCAAGCTGGATACGTCTGCTCGTAACACAACTAAATCTCCAGGTTAGCTCTCTGGACACAATTATAGCTAGTCCTGGGTCTGTTGTCAGACCTATGGAAAAGACATTTATTTTTGACAATCAGGAGACATGGCAGAAGGAGGGCTTAGTACAACGTTTTCATTCTCGGTAATAGTAAAGTCATTATAAATATGTTGTTATTTTCCTTCTGTTCTGCAAGATTCTACAGCAAATTGCCCAGAAAATATTTTCTTCTCCCTCCAAACTGTTTTTAGAGCTGCAGCTTATTATGTTCCTCTCCCACACTGCAATCCTGTACATTTTTTCTAAATAATTCCCAGCAGAAAGAGGCATGAATGGTTGCAGCATCTACCTCTTCCTAAGTTAGTGTTACAATCTGATGGATAAATGTGAAAGAAAACTTTTTTAGGTTACTGTCAGAATGCAGGTTTTGTTTAAAGCTTCAAAGTATCATACCCAGATCATAGTTTCTCAAGACATCAGTCAAGAAAGAGCTTGGAAATATTTTCTTTAAAAACACCCTAAACTGCAATTAGGGTTGCTAGTAGCTCCTCATGCTTAATGCTAGAAAATGAGAGAACAAAGGCAGGGCAAACTTCTTCAGATGTTCGTCATAAAAGCTATCTAGATACATTCAGCATGAAGTCTAAATTTCACCAGACCCTACAAAAAAGTTCTGAATATGTGTTCCTTACACAGCCCTGCCACCATTTTTTTTGCAGCTGACTCATGTTCTGAAGAGATCAGAGACAAAAAACTATGAAAGCCTGTATTTTACACTTTGCCTTCCCCAGCAGGTTGCCTGAAAGATCTTTTCAAATGGTCTATTCCTCTTGCACATCCATAAATTGTAAGATGTTTGATCAAACACTGTACTTGTTACTTTGCAGAAACAGAAGGGATTTTTATCAAAAGAGCAAGCCATCTCTCCCCCCAAAAGCCAGTGCCCAAAAACCTTGGCAGCAACAGGACAGCAGGGCAGCAGAGCCAGGAACATAACTTAGAGTGAAACAGTCATTTTACCACTGCAAAAGTGTAGCATCCTCATCAACGTTAGGTGTCAAGTGCTGCTCAGGTGACACAAGAACTTGAAATTGTAAAGGCTCTTCACAAAAGTTGTTAAAACTAAGGAGGAATTCGGATTCTACCTTTAGCAATGCAAACACAAATTAAAACATAAAAAACTCCCCCTGCTCAGCTGTGATTGAAGTGTGACAAATTCAAAAAGTGGGGTTTGGGTAGTTAGTGGCACAGACTTAGCAAGAGGGAGGGAGGTACAAAGGAGTTTGAAGACCCTCCTGCTGAAATAGGCACCGTGGAGCAGAGCAGGCATTCCTACCTCAAACAGCAGGGCTGCAGCATCCACACGGGCGGTGGTTCTGTTGACATGCTCAGTGCATCCGGCTAATTGCATCTGGGTAATAGCATCTGTCTTCTCATTTAGTTGGAAGAACCATCTGTCCAACTTGTTTAGGACATTAAGATTAGTAAGGCAATGTAAAAACCATCATTACAAATGATCTTAGAATTCTATAATTATAAACAAATGAGAAACTCTTAAAAGCCTGCATTTTTAGACACAGCGAATTTGATAATTACACTAATGTTTTAGGTACTTATTCCCTAAGGAATTATATCATTAATACTCCACGAATGAGTTCCCCATTTCTGTAGACCACAGTTCTGATACTTGACGTGACATCAGCAGATGCAGAAAATTTATCCATTCAGTAAAGGGTCCAATATGTACAAATACAATTTATTCAAATAATTTCTCAGTTCTTTAGCATCCATAATATTATTTCTTCTATTTCTTCTTTTTCTTTTTTATGTGGATCCTTTCTCTCTGTAAAAGTTAAATTAATCTTTTCTTTCTCACACCATTTAACTAACGTCTCACTGAGCTGCAAAGATCATTTAGATAAACCTTAGCAAGGTCATTTGTTAAAAGCAGAAAGTAACCTTCATAGTATCAAGCTAATTATTGCATAGAAATTTATTATGCATGATGCACTGGACTCAGTTTTGTTTAGCATTGTCTGTCGTGGTCATTCACATGCTTTGCTGATTTTTTTCTAGGTACACGAAAATGAAGACTGCCACCAATATCTATATTTTCAATCTTGCACTGGCAGATGCTCTAGCAACAAGCACTCTGCCATTCCAGAGTGTGAATTACTTGATGGGAACGTGGCCATTTGGTACAATCCTCTGTAAGATTGTTATATCCATAGACTACTACAACATGTTCACCAGTATCTTCACACTCTGCACCATGAGTGTGGATCGCTACGTAGCTGTTTGCCACCCAGTTAAGGCCCTTGATTTCCGTACCCCAAGAAATGCCAAAATTGTCAATGTCTGCAACTGGATTCTTTCTTCTGCCATTGGCCTGCCAGTTATGTTCATGGCAACTACTAAATACAGGCATGGTAAGTCTGACTTTCATTCCTAAGTTGAATATTTTGATGTTTAAACTCCTTTCTGCATTGTTTCACTTTATTTTAGAGACATTGAGTTAACTTCTGACCTCCAGCCTGTATAAAGCAGGCATCAGTGCAAATGGACCCCTTCAACAGCTGTAGTTGACTGGACACAGAACTGCACATGGTCTGTCTTTTACACCAGGCAGCTCCAGATCCATCTGTAGATTCATGCAAGTCCCGCTGTCCCACACAGGGTTTGGAAAAGCATCTGTGCCTGCCTGTCTTCTGCTGTGCGGTGGCTATGCACTCTTCTATAGCACAGAAGCCTGTGCTTTACCTGTGGTATTCCCCCAGAAGTTGGCAGCCATAGATATTTTGTCTGGCAGGACATGATACAGATCAGAGAGCATGTTCTGGATGACAGAATCATAGAATAGTTTGAGTTGGAAGGAATCTTTAAAGGTCATCATCAACTAGATCAGGTTGTTCAGAGCCCCATCCGACCTGATCTGGAATGTTTCCAGAGACGGGGCATCTACCACTTCCCCGGGCAACCTGTTTCAGTGTTTCATCACCTCATCGCTGGCACTCAAAGACCTTCCATGAAGCAACAGCATCTCAACATAAATCCAAACCCTCCATTGTGCCCAGTTAACATGTCATCCACTTCCCTATTGCCCTGAAATGCCCAAACTCTCAGCAGATAAGGTGGTTAAACCATCTCTTTTTCTTTTTTTTTTTTTGCCAGATTTTATACTGAAAGTGAAAATGAGTCAATGTTTAAGCAGTTACAACAATTCTGCTCTTTTTCTTGTCCAATATACACAAAATTTCAAGCCATAAAATGCAAAAGAGAACACATTACTTTGGTTTTGTTTCTCTAACTCACGATACATAATGTTTTGCAGCACTGTGTCCTATTGATGTTTGCACCAATGACAGGTCACAGATTACTTCAGTTTAGTCATTTACTTAGTAAATCTTCATGCCTATGATATTTAACAAAAAGAGTTTGAAGAAAAACAGATCAAAAACTGACCCACCTGTTCTCTGCTGTTTTCTTTTTTTCTCTAGGCTCAATTGACTGCACACTTACATTCTCCCATCCTGCTTGGTACTGGGAGAACCTCCTGAAAATCTGTGTGTTCATCTTTGCCTTCATCATGCCAGTCCTGATCATTACCGTCTGCTATGGGCTGATGATTTTACGCCTAAAGAGCGTTCGCATGTTATCTGGCTCCAAAGAGAAGGACAGGAACCTGCGGAGAATCACGAGGATGGTTCTTGTAGTGGTGGCAGTGTTTATCGTCTGCTGGACTCCCATCCACATTTATGTCATCGTTAAAGCCCTGGTCAACATCCCAGAAACTACTTTCCAGACTGTCTCCTGGCATTTCTGTATTGCTTTAGGGTATACAAATAGCTGCCTTAATCCAGTCCTTTATGCATTTCTAGATGAGAATTTCAAAAGGTGTTTCAGAGAGTTCTGCATCCCCACTTCCTCAACCATTGAGCAGCAAAACTCCACTCGAGTCCGACAAAACACTCGTGACCATGCTTCCACTGCCAACACTGTGGACAGGACTAACCATCAGGTATGACTAGCAGTGGAGATGTCATCTCTGGATCCAGGCCTCCCGCTTGGAGATGACATGTATTCTGAAGTTACGGTTTATACTGATTTGTAGCTATCTGAAGGTCTAAACACCTTCAAGGTTATATTTTAAACTGGTGTATGCATACACAGAGACCCCAGTGCTGCATGGGGCTAGTTGTTCTGTCCTCCAGCTGATGCTCAGAAGCTGAGGGTTTTCAGAGGTATCTTGTATGATTGGGTCCAACATGCATGCACCTACACAGCACACAAAACAGTGTTTCCTTTGCAGGATGTTTACAATAGGTGACTGCTCTAGAACTGGCTGGAGAGTAATCACAGATTTCTTTATTCTTATTCCTTGTCTGCTGAGGGAGACAGGAGTGTACAGAATCTTCTTGTCCCATTCCAACAGTGAATAAAAGAGAAGAAACTGTGCTTTGACGCTTTTTGTTGATGTACAAAAGGCAGCCTACCTGGCTTATTTGTCCTGTAAGACACACAAGAAGTAGACAAAGGCTTGTATACATGCAGTTCTATTATCAGATAATTATCTGTGTTGGTTAGGGTGGGTTTTGAGATATACATACACATATAAATATATATACACACATGTGAATAGAATAGAATAGTTCAGTTGGAAGGGACATACAACAATTATCTAGTCCAACTGTTAAAGACTATTGCGCCATTTTTGCTATTTAAGGTATACAGAGAACATGCCTTTTCCATGCAGAAAAAGCCTTTGAGAAGTAGGGATTTTATGGCACAGCAGATACCAAGAGAAACAGATGTTTGATTTTTTTATTCAGGCTAGTTTTGCTTAGCTTTCGCAAAGAAGCTGTTTTGCTACATCTTCAACATCCATGTCCCAGTGATTAGTCCTGAGAATTTCCAGTGCACATCCCTCAGTTAACATCAAGCAAAATATGGAGGCAAATCTTAATATTCATAGAAATAACTCATGCACAGCACAAGTGCTAGAAAAAGTTTAAGCCGTCTCTGTAATTCATGAAAAAGAAGAACAAAAGGCACAAGCCTAGTTCATTCCTTGACACACCACCTTTCAGCAATATCCTTAGGTTGCTCCTGCACTAGCTGCTCGCTGCTGCCACTTCAGCCACAAGCTAGCTGCCTCCTCGAGGTGCAGGCATCAATGGCTTCTTGTGAAAACAATCACATACCTGTCACTCAGCTGCTGCCAGAAAACCCACATCAGAACATTGTCATCTCCAAACAGACAAAATAGTCATTGCTGCAGAAAAGGGGAGGGAGCAGGCGAAAGGGAGAAGGGGAAGCTTTATTAAACATCCACAGTTGGTGGTGTGGTTCACCAGCATCTGCCTCATACGTGCCAAACTGTGGCCTGTGAAACCAGTTAGTACCTGCTCAGTCTTACGCACGCTTTGGTGGCACAGCAGAACTGCCAAACTTGGCAGAGGCGCATACGTATCTGTATGTATGTATATATGTGTAGCATTTACGAGGTAAACTAAACACTTATTAGACAGATTCATCTGTTAATAATGTAACCCTCAGTGGAGTTAATTATGTGCATGTGTTTGACAACAGGATTGTTTCTGTATCTAGTACAATTCCAGCTTTTTACAGTGCAGTGTGTATGCACATATTTTCTACATTTAATTATGCTTCTTTATAATATTTGTAGGAGAGCTGTAGCCTTCTAAACTTCTACCCTTAGTGAAGATTAATGTGGTACTTACTGCCCAGAGGCTGAATGAAATAAAGTCTATTTCCCTCGGCACTGAGCGAACACAGAATAGAAGACGATCCTTCCCACAAAGATCTTTCAACCTACACCAACAAGGGAGAGAGCCAGCTGAGGCAGAGATAGACCAAACAAGTGAAGTGATGGTTGTTTTTGGGGTTTGTTTTTTATATTTAGGGAATAGTGATGGAATTAGTTAAGTGATAAAGCATATGTAAAAAGAAGTGAAGGGGAAGACAATGAAGGAAAAGGGAGGTGAGAGGAAGAGGGAGGAGGAGAAAGGGGAACATCAGGAATGAGGTCCGAGAAAGGTAGTAAAGAAGGAAACTGAAGCAAAGAGCCAATATGCACAGAACAAAAAAGGTGTATGCAGAGCTGTAAGAAATTGTGTGGTTGCCCAGCTTTGTCTACTTGTGTAGCTTATAGTAGCTACTAGTCATCAGTTTTCCCCAGGGCTATGGAGAAGAAGACAACCCTTGGAAGCTCATGCTCTCATAGATGGGTGGAAAGGTCTCTTTGCATGGTCTGGTATTTGAAAGAATTTGATGTGGCCATAAATGGGCCCGATTTCACTTCCCTCACCACCATCCCTGCAATCCTGGCTCCAGCAGCTGCTGGTTTATTTCTGCCAGATGTGCTCACTGGATGTTGACCTCAACCTTCTCACTCCTGCACTCCCTGGAGTACGGCACCACAACTATCAGGTGCAGTCTTTCTCACTCTCCACAAAGTCTATAGAATACATTGACACCAAGCCGTGTTTAAACTTCAATATTAAACTACTACTTTTTTTTTTTCTTATCCAGAAAACCTTTTAGTAAAAGGCATTTTTATGTTTAAACCTTAATATTAAACTATTTTTTTTTTTTTGTTCTTCTCCAGAAAACCTTTTAGTAAAAGGCATTTTTGTTGTCTGCTACTATCAGAATGACAGACAGTGTTGTAGGACTAATCTACACTAAAAAGGTTCTCTGGGGTACTACTTACAAGTGTAACATCTAATTATTTTTGTTGTTGTTGTTCTTTTCAAACAGAGAAAACCCTAGAGTGAATGCAGCCTTTACTTCCAGAAAAGAGAAATAAAAGCAAAAATAAAGAAAGCAAAAAAAAAAACAACAAAAAAACCCCTGTTTGCTCCCAACAATGAGCTTGAGTAAATTCTATTGACAGGGTATAACCCTGTTTGCTCCCAACAGTGAGCTTGAGTAAATTCTATTGACAGGGTATTCTTTTCACAGGTAAATGCTTTCTGGACAAGAAAGTCTAGCTAGTATATCTGTAATGATCTAAGTATACTGACAAGGCCTTTCTTGTATAGACAAGGCCTTGGAGAGCATTTGGTATGAATTCTAATTGCCAGGCTGTATAGTGCTCAGTGCAGTCCAAGTCATTTTCAAAGAAACAGATGTTCTACAAGTTGCTTTTTTGCCAAGTGAGAATTCTTTACTCCTGCTAAAGTTAATGAGAACTGCAAGCACTCAGTCGCTCAACAGCTTAGGGCCTCACACTCCTAAAAATAAGCAGTCACTGGGAGGAAGAGCTGTGTTTTATATCAGTGCAAAAGCAGTAACAGAAAACATTACAAATATTCATATTGTGCATTAAGATAGTGGTATTTCATCTACTTTATGGCTCTTTGACATTACCAAAAACTTTTTCTAGATTAAGGGTTTGATTGTTGTTTTATCAGCGTTTATAAAAAGTGGAAGAGCAAAACAAGTTCAGACCTCCTCCAGAAATGCAGCTTCTTTCAAATACACAAAGTAGCATGTAACACCTAACACCAATGGTATGAGCATTTATAGAAATATATGTGGTCAGTGGAACAACATAGTTCTGAGGGAGAAAAGGCAGCAGCTAATCAAACATGCAAAAACTGGAGGTGGTGTGAGACTGAGGTGTTTGACATCTGTGGCAGACGTATCCTGTTCAACCGAACTAACTCCTGCTGCAAAATGCACAGCTTACACATGTTCCAAAGTGAGCTTAAAGGCTCAGCTCACTTGTTTTTTTAGGGAGGCATAATCAATCTTATAAATGCATTTACATGAAGAGTTAAAACAAGAGTAGAAGTGATGGAATCCTGGAAAAATTGCTTGTAAAGCAAAACTGCTTGCTCTGAACTTTTCTCTGTATGACCCAATATTGGTCGGGAACTATAATAGAGGACCAAATACTAGCTTTTGCAAGTAGCTGAGGTTTTTTGGTGACATTGACAAACAACCTGATTCATAACAAAAACCTTGAAAAATATTTTTAAATAGCTTTTACTTCATATGCATAGAGAATCCCTGCATTAATTTATCCTGAGATTTTTAAAAGTTGGAATTTTTTTTAACATTTAAAATTAATTTGTATTTTTTCTCCCTGAAAACTATTATTTCCAAATGCCTTTTGTTTTTGTTAATATCTCTTAGTGTCAACAAATCCTAAATATTTAGGAAAATGCTTTATTAATAATTATAGAAAGCTGATAAATTTAATTTGTTTCAGTTTCTTCGTGATCCATTTAAGTTTTTATAGCAGCCTCACCTGAATGTGTCCAAGCAACTGGGCAAATTATATACAGGCACGTTTTCAAGACTATTTAGTCATCCTATGTAACTATTTTTTTGTATTTTTAGCTTTCTCTTTAAACACTGAAGTGTCTAAATGTCATAATGGAAGCTGCAAATCCTCCTTATATGCTGAAAATGAAGCCTCAGATAGGTTCAGTAACCAGAAGCTCTGGTATTTCTGTCCAGCTCTGAAAGTTTTGCCCTTATTTCTTGGATTGGCAGCCATGTGAACAAATTAAAAGGAAATTGGATTAAAGAAAAATATTTTTAAGTTGAAAAAAAGGAAACATTGAAAGCTAGTTTCAAATAAATTAAGAAAGTGCTTTCTTACCTTTTAATTTTCCCAGTGCTATATGACAGATACAAACAGATATGGGGAATGCTGGTGAGTCCTATGCAGAAACGTGACACAAGCTGGACAGATTCTGTAACTCCAGACCTTGGCAGATTCACATCTACCAGTATGAATACAGACGTATTCATAAAGATAAGTGAATATGAGCTTCAAAATTAATTTCTGGGTCTAGACTTCTCCAAAAACGAGGGACATTCACACTTAGGATCAGCCATTTCCTGGCCAAAAGGGGCTGAGGAGTAACATTCCCACTGCAGAATAAAGAAAATCCAGACATATAGCATGTTCAATTGAACAAGCATTTGAGTTATGTTGTGGCCTTGGAGAAATTTATCTCCAAATCAGTAGTTATAACAGCCTCCCCTCTGCTGAATGTGCTTGGAAAGAGATCCAGTTAGAAAATGCAAATCCAAAACTATTACCCACTATTACCCACGTGCTGCTACTTTCATGGGAGCACATTCCCTCTCTTGTCTCAGGCTGCATTCGTGACTCTGCTTTCCATACCATAAACCCTTTATTTGCAGTGTCTCCCACCCTGTTTTTAATAGATTCTAGTGCTGCCAGCTAACATTGGTTGGGCAGTAAAAAGGGTTGCAGACTTTCAGGATGTGCAGTAAGTGGATTTTCTAGATGAAAACATCTCTAGTGCTATCGTACCTGTACGGGAATGGGACTTGACATGGCTACTGTGGACACACAGGGCTGAGAGGCTGTTGGGTTTGTTTGCTGATGTAAGTTCATCTCACACGGAATTTAAGCTAGACTGTAACTGCAAATCCAAAAATTAGCCAACGTACTGATGTAGGCACAGAAGGTATTATGTAAAATACTAACTCCCCTGCAAACTGCTACAAAAAGAATACAGGAAGGGAGTGAAATCCTTCCATGCCTGTGAAATTCATAGAGGGTTTCCCTCTAGAAAGAGAAAAAAAATGGTTTTGTATGAAATACATTCCAATTCTAGTTCAAATCTCAGATCTACTAACATTTCATTATCTTTAAAGGCCAGACATGAAATTTTTCTGTGATCATTCCCTCTGCTTTTGTTGCTTTACTGCAGGGGCATAGTCTTGCCTCACTGTCTGGGCTACCTGTTTAGCTTTATACAGCAGGACAGTAGCTGCAGATGATAAGTAAACACCTCTTAAAAAAAAAAACCCACGCACGCAAACGCACACACAGACTTGTGGGTGGGAAGAGATCGAGTAATTGTTCATTGTATTTGCAATTTCTTTCCTTTCAGTTGGAACTTCAAGAAGCTGAAACTACTCCACTGCCGTGACAGGGTCTGCTGCCGCATGGCTCTCACAGCACTTGGGCACCAGTGCCAGGGTGTCGCTGGGCAGTATGCTATGGGAAGGTGTAGGATACACTTGCCCTCAAAAAAAAAACAACAAAAAAAATACCACAGAGGAAAGTGCCTGCTTTTCCAGTCTGTCAAAAAGTGCTTCTGCGTCACTTCTTATACATTGTGTATAACAGAAGCATGAAACTTAACAACAAGCAGAGCCAAGAGATACGGGGGCTTGCCAGGCTCCAGTGTTTGAAGCAGTCATGTTTACCAGGAATACATACATTAGTCCTAATAAAGCTACTCTACCTGTAGCCATCTGGCATGCTCTTGGCAAGTGACAGTGGTGGTAAACAGGTTGGAAACCAGAATTCAAAGGCTAGAGAACTATAGTTTGAAAAACAAAGGTGAGCTTTTAATGGCTGGAGAAAATGGGAAACGAAGTTGTAATACTGTTGGATACTCGATTTACTCTTAAAATTTATTTGTAGAGATGTTTTCTGTCCAGGTTATTTGTGTGCTGAAGTCTCTCAAGATCATCTAGGACAACACTTGCAGTTCAAGAGGTCCTCTCTTACAAGGATTGCAAGTTTCACAATTTCAAAGGGAAAATACAGTGCTCACTTAACAAAAAACAGTACTCCAGGCTTCACCTTCTGCTTCTATTTCTCACATAAAGATAGACTTTAAAATCAAAACTAAAATCAGAACAATGACTTATCACTGCTTCTAAAACAGATGAGTAAATTAAAGTATTCCGTGTTGTTATTGATTGTTGAATGATCCACAAAAGAGCATAGGCTCTATTAACATAAATTCCTGTGTGAACAGAAATCTAACTGTAAGCCTGTCGGGGCTGGCACGGGCTGCTGATGACTTCTCTTTCAACTAGTCTCTCAAATTCCAACTGCCCTGTCAGCAACATTTCGAATTTGTGAGTTGTTGACAGGCCCTACATGACGCGCTTGGAGTGGTTAATGCATTAGAGCTTACGTTTTGCTAGAAATCTATTTTTTCTCTTAACCAGTTCCATAATACGTTTGCTTTTCTAACTAATGTAATAACAGTCCGCATCTCCATTTTTGTATTATCTGCTAAAACACATTAAGATTTATGGAAGAAACATTGTACTGAAGTGATTGCCACCTTAGCTGTTTTCTAGTATGAAAAATAGGAATATCCATGTAGATAATTTGTGGTGCAATGGTATTTTCTAGCCATTGTTTGTTACTTGCTTTGTAAATAAATCATCAGTAGTTAACCAGAGGAGAATGTACTTTGACAAATTTAAGTGTATTCTAAAATACAACTCTACGGTATGGGTTGGGGTTTTTTTCTTTTTATTTCTGCAGCCAAAATGTATTTCTTATTTTCATTGTTATCAACTATGTAACAATATGCTTTTAATGTGAAATTGTTTGTTTCTGTCATGGACTGCGTAATAAAGATTGAAGGCCAAATCCATGCAAGTTGTAAATTAAAGTAATACATGAGTTTCATCAGTGTGTTGCAACTAAATATAAAACCCTTTACATCAGCAGAATAGGAAACTAGATATAGCAGAAGTGCCTTAATTTTTTTTCCCTTTTCTGTTGAAAATGTCATTGTGCT